GGACCTGCAAACAGCTCTTGAGCTGGCTACCGCTGCCGAGGCTGTCTCGCGAGGAACACTAGAGCTACAATCAAGATCAGCGCAGTCCGGAGTGCAGCCTTGCACGGACGCTGAAGCACCAGGTTCCGACTCTTCCATCTTAAACGCAGTTCAGCGCGGCTCTCCTCAGAGACCTACGCCATCAAGATCTTGTTTTCGCTGTGGGGGTCAGCACTCACCGTCGAAAAGTCGATGCAAAAGCATGCTTTGTCGTTACTGTAAGAAGCGGGGCTACATTGAGAAGGTCTGCATGGCCAAAAAAAAAGAGCAACGACAACGTCTACAGGCAAGGTCGAACGAATCTCATGCTACACACGTGGTGCAAGGAGGCCAAGCCGACATGTCCCCACCCCGCTTTGACGTGTATGCAGTTGCAAATAAAACTGTGTGGCCGTATATGGTGACGGTTACTCTCAACGGAGTTCCACTTGCCATGGAAGTGGACTGTGGAGCTGCCGTATCTATTATCAGTGAAGCCACTTACAGGACGCTCGGAGCAAGGGCACCTCCGGCGTTGACAAAAGATAACCATCTGCTTAAAACCTGAACACAGCAGTGTCTCCCCGTACTGGGAAAAATAGAAGTCGAAGTAGGATTTCGAGGCCACACCCACACACTTTCACTTTTTGTGGGCAGTGGGGGTCATGCCAGCCTCCTCGGACGTGATTGGTTTGAAAGACTGGGCATTGATGTCACAGGAGTCAACTCTTTACGCAGTTTCAATTTGTCCCGACGTTTTCGCGGGAGGCTTAGGAGCACACCGCGGTGAGCCTGTATCAACACCCATCGCAATAAATGCTACGCCGAAGTTTCTTAAGAGTCGGACGGTTCCGTTTGCCTTTCGGCCCGACATCGAAGAGGAGTTGGAAAACCTAGTGAATCAGAAGATACTGGAGCCTGTTCGACATAGTCAATGGGTCACACCCATTGTGCCAATCCTAAAAAGAAACGGCAAGCTTCGCCTCCGCGGTGACTACCGTAGCACTATCAACCCGTTTGTGATAAATGAGACGTACGCGCCTCCGACGATCAAAGACAATCGATCCACCTTAGCTGGAGGCATGTTTTTTACAACATTTGATTTAGCTTAGGCGTATCAACAACTCCGGGTGGAGGACGCAGCTGCGGATCTGATGATAACAAACACGCATAGAGGCTTTACCGCGCGCGGCGGCTAGCTTTTGGGGTGACTTCTGCAGTTGCCATTTTTCAACGCTTTATCGACACACTGCTGTAAGGAATCAGAGGTGTGATTCCTTACCTTGATGACATCCTTATTACAAGAAAAACAAGTACAGAACATGATGAACGTCTGAAAGAAGCATTGCGACGACTGTCAGAGGCCGGACTCCGCTTACAGAAGGATAAGTGTGTTTCTCTTCAGCCAGCATCACCTACCTAGACTATCATAAAGACTCGACTGGTATTCGGCCAACCATAGAAAAGGTAGAAGCTATTCGCGACGCTCCAGCACCACGGAATGTCACAGAGTTGCGTGCGTTTTTAGGAATCCTAAACTTCTACGGATGTTTCCTGCGAGATCGGGTGACTGTGCTGGAGCCGCTGCACAGACTGCTCGCATCGGGGCAAGATGGCAGTGGAACAAGGCCCATGACGAAGCCTATTTACGGGCGAAACAACTTCTCCAGAGCGACAGCTTACTGGTGCACTACGACCGAAGCCTGCCTCTTTCACTGTCCTGTGACGCTTCTCCTTACGGTGTAGGCTCTGTCCTAAGCCACACCATGCCAGGTGGACGAGAAGCACCTGTGGCCTACTCCTCAAGAACACTAACTTCTACCGAGCAAAAGTATGCTCAAATTGACTAGGAAGCTCTGGCTATTGTCACAGGCGTCAGGAAATTTCACCAGTTTCTGTATGGCCGTCATTTCTTGATATACACTGACCACAAGCCTTTGGTGGGCCTAATGCATCACAGCAAACCTATGCCACAAGTCATGTCTCCACGGATGCTGCGATGGAGCCTTCTATTATCGGCCTATGACTACGAACTGGTTTATCGTCCAGGAAAAGAGTTGACTAACGCAGATGAACTTAGTCGCGTACCCCTGACGACCTCGACTGGCGAGATCTGTGGTACACCCATGAACTGCCTACTCTTAGAGGCGACACCAAACCCTCCACTCAACGCAAAAGGAATCGCAGATGGGACCCGCCGTGATCCTGTATTACCTAGGGTCTTATCATGCGTATTGAACGGATGGTCAGCACTGCCACCGGAGGAGTGTTTTCGGCCTTTCGTTCAAAGGCGGCACGAGTTATCAGTTATCAGCTCACAAAAACTGTCTGCTCTGGGGTAGTCGGGTGGTTCTGCCGCCATCCTGTAGGAAAGAAACAATAACGCTGCTCAACAATAGCCACCCAGGTATCGTGCGAATGAAGGGCTTGGCTCGTAGTTATTTGTGGTGGCCCAAAATGGACTCTGAGATCGAAGAAACGGTCAGGCAATGCCTTGCTTGCCAAGAGTCGCGTCATGCTCCCGCGAGGAGCCCTACGATTCCTTGGGAACGCATGAGCAAACCATGGTCTCGCGTTCATATAGATTTTGCTGGCTCTTTGCATAACAAAACATTCCTCATTGTCGTAGACAGCTACTCAAAGTAGCTGGAGGTAATTCAAGTGACCTCAATGACAACATCATGCACGGTATGCCAACTTCGTGCTTTGTTTGCCACTCATGGGCTTCCCGACGTCATCGTGTCGTATAACGGAGCGTCTTTTACTTGAGCAGAATTCGAGCAGTTTTGCTCCCAAAATCAAATACAACAGGTTCGTTTCGCGCCATATCACCCGAGTTCCAATGGACAGGCCAAACGAATGGTACAGACGGCTAAAGAGAACCTTCTTCGTAAGGACTCCAGCGATTGGTCGCTCCGTCTGGCGAGAATGTTGTTCGCACAGCAATCCACTCCCCACTCTGCGACCGGGAAAACTCCGGCAGAGCTTCTCATGAGACGGCAGATCACGACGGCGCTAAATCGACTGCATCCAGACCTGGATGCTGATATCAACGCACGAAGTGAAGATGCTTACAGGAACCAACCGTCGGCTGAAAAATTGAGGCGTTTTAACCCAGGTGATGAGGTGTACGCCTGAAACTACGCATCTGGGCCTGCTTAGGTACCTGGCAATATAGAAGCTGGAACAGGTCCGAAATCGTACATTGTGCAGACAAATCAAGGAAAATTCTGGCATCGTCTCATAGACCAACTACGCGCCCGTACTTTAGCTACTATGGGTGAGTCAGGCGATGTCGAATTCGGCCGAGCGCCGTTGCTAGCGCCTGCCCTACCTCCTTTACCGCCGAGTTCATCAGAGCCAAACATGCCTCAGCGGCGCACCTCAGCTCAACAGTCGCCTAGGCAAGACGTGAACTCACCCCAACGGTGGATGTCAGATCAACAGTCGCCCAGGAAAGAAGTGAACTCGCCCCAACAGCGAGCTCTTCCTCAGCGGCCGGAAGGGGGAAGCAACATTAAGTTCACCAGCTTTATCCACGCAAACGGCACCATCGCTACGTCCAGCGAGAATGGCTTCCCTGTGCGGTCTACCTCCTACAGCGCATCCGGCATCGGAAGAACAAACTACTTCGAGCGATGGAATCTGTGCGTCTCAAAATGAACAGGCGGCGATTTCAACATAATTAAGGCGTTCCGAGCGTGCAAGGAAGCGCCCGCGTTACCTTTCGGACTTCGTGCGATTGAAGGAGTGTGGTGTACTGGACAAAAGGGCGCGAGAGCCACACACATATAGATGACGACGAGAAGCACGCTCTCTGATGGAACTGTAGAAGCAGGACTACCACGTCCAACATAATGCTACTTTTTATTTAACAAGTACGTTTTAGTTTCCCTATTAAAAAAGGAAAATTTATTTATATATCTATATATATATATATATATATATATATATATATATATATATATATATATTTATATATTTATGATTTTGTCAAGAAACATACAAGATAACTTATACGCCATAACGTTATAACTTATAAGCTCTTATGTGACCTTATATGTTTTCATATGTTAATTGTAAATAAAAAAGGCTTCCTGGGTTAGTTTGAGATAAGGCCTGACATCAGCTGTTTGCTTAGAGTGCCATTGGCTTGGTGCTCGTTGTGGGAATTTGTTTCCCACTCGTGCATCACGCAATATTTTTTTTTTGTGATATGGACACCTCTTTATCAGACCGCGGAGTTTTATAGAATAAAAAAATACTATGTTTTCTTGCGGGCATTTCTATAAACACTGAAAATGTTTAGACAAGATTCTGCAAAAATCTAAATAATACACACTACAGTATAAAGGCTTTAACGAAAACCCATGCCACCAGGCGCAAGGAACACGGACGGTTAACAGCTAAAACTCGAACGACTAAGATAACTTCTGTTCTATAGAAATTATGTATTAAGTTGAAATTATATCATCGAAATCATGTGTCACGATTCAGTTGATTTTTTTTGTCTGTTCAATTGATAAGAAAAAAAAACTTGGCCATTCACGCTTGTTGTATTTATACATTAATCGACTAAAAATATTCTGTTCTGGGTAAAATGAATATTAAGTGTGAATTGAAATTACTATATCTAAATATATAGGAAAATATTTCATGATATTGTTAAGTCACTTTTTGGAAATCTCCACGCACATCAACGCTTGCAGGAGCTGCACTTTACATTTAGCCTAATATGACTGGGGACACTCTAGAAGTAAAAGATAGCCTATAGTTAGATGTACTAATTAAAGGAAGTTACAAGGTCAAAAATCTGCAAGAACAGGAAACAAATTCGTTTCAAGAATTCTAAGCTAAATTGTAAACAAACATTTTCATGTTCCTTAACGCTTATTTTTAATCTTTATGCATTTCGAACTGTCAAATATCAACCTATTTTTGTGACAAATTTTTTGCGACTTTTTGACTGTGCTAAATTTCAGCGCATCGCCACCACATGGGAATAACCGTCATAGCCGATAAGGCTTTTAGAAATGCACAAGATCAAACTGGTTACGATCAGCGTTTGTACTTGGAAACGTTTGTAGACACGGTAAGTAGCACGTGACAAATGGTAAAACTATTAATTAGGTTTGCAATCAAACACCAATTTGAACCGATATGCATAGTGTTCTTCAACTCCTGCTGAACCCGGAGGCCCGATGCTTGATCCCGAGTTTGAGAACGAGCAAAATAAAACACTGAGCAAACAGCTAAACCAAGCACGACACTTCAAAAGGAGGCAAAATTGAGGACTGCTTCAAATAAAGAACCTACTCTAAATTTTTTTTCGTTTCACCCGTCGGGTTATGCATCAACTTTTAAAGCTATAAACAGATGGATAGAGTTTTGGCGCAAAGCCAGCTTATTTTCTTTTAAGCGAGATAAAGAATGAAATTTTGATAGTGAAACCGCAGTCAATATAAAGAACGTTGTTATTGTGGTTCCGTAACACGTGCGTTATTTGCCCATACGTGACAAACTTTTTAATATTAATTCCTTCCCTGGCTCGCAGCATATTGACATGATTCGAAATATGTCTTTTTTTTTAACTCCGTACTGTCATGTAGGCATGCTTTACATAGACTGGGATCACGAGCTAGCCTGAGTGATGGCACATTCCTTTAAATACGTGTACTTTGGTTATTGTTAGGACGACAAGATTTGGAGGCTTGGTTGGGTTTTCTTTCAACAAAGCTTCGGCCGTTATTTCTTTTTTTCATCTACTTAGATAGACGTTTTCTACTTCCTTCCCGACTTTTATTGTATCTTGGCAAAGCGTTTCGATATCCGCAGACAGCCTTGCTTGGGTCTCTGCGGACACCTGCACACCAGTCAGCACTGGTGTGCAGTTGTCCGCAGACACCTGAACACCAAGGTCAAGTTCCCCTGAGTCAATCACCACACCAGTTTGCACAGGTGTGCAGATTGACTCAGGGAACTTGATTTTTCTATATGCAGGTCTGTCGGAGTGTTCCGTCAAAATAACGCGTGTTCTTCCTACTACATCAATAATTCAATTCTTACTTTTGTTTCTTCCTATAAATATCTTGATGTTAACCTAGCCAATAATCTCTTCTGGAATATTCATGTCCATCAAGTCACTAAAAGAGCTAATCTGTTACTAGGCTATCTAAAAAGAAACGCTTCGCTTTCTCCTGCGCCTCTAAATCTTCTCGTATACAAAACTATAGTTCGCTATAACCTTGAATATGCAGCCTTTATCTGGGACCCAGGTATCACTTTTGCACCTGCTGTTGAGGCCATTTACAATCGCTCCGCTTGTTTAATTATCTAATTAAAAATCTATCACCGCACAGCCAGCGTTACATGAATGAACGCATATCCATTCTTACGTAAAACCTCTTGTCATAAAAATTATTTCGTTTGTCGTTTTTACGAGATTTATCGCTCTAATCCTAGAATTCGTGAGACATTGTTTATAGAATTATCTTACATATTATCACGGACAAATCACCAGTTATAGGTAGGCATCCCCCCTTGTAACACTTACTTGTTTAATGCGTCTATTCTTCCCCTAACCCCATTGTCTCGATGACTGATGCTGCTCATTTTAACACTGCTATCACTAATTATCTTCTTGCTCCTTAGTAATTTTTCCTATTTTTGTCTTGTTCGTTCATATACTCGTATATTGTTGTGTTAAAAATCACTCCTCTCTGTAATGCCTTCGGGCCTTAAGAAAAAATACACGAAATGAAATGAAATTTGCTTTTCCCTATCGATTGCACTTGTTGCGGGAGTAGTAACTTTTGAACATCTCTGCTCTCCTTAAGTGGTTCACGTTGTTCTAGAACAAACTGATTTAGTGGTTTCGGTGATGTTAAGCAAGTTTCTTATTAGAACCATATGTTTATTTTCAATCATTCAAGAATTACTTCAGATATATTACCCTATTACGCGAAGTATCGTGAGAACTAGCCACTTATACAATGCCCCCTGGCCGTATAACTCACCTGCGCAAATCCACATGAGTGTACATTTAAGAAAAAAATATGTTCAAATTAAAAATCACACTTTGTATTTATTTATAAGTAAACTCAGTTTGCTTCGGTATTTCAGTAGCCTGATCCGCAGCAGCTCAAGCAAAGCAACATTTTAATTGTTTTCGACTATTTAGCATCATCGGCCAGAGCAGATCACCCACGAATATACAATAAGAAAAATCTTTATTCCAGGTAAACCTATATTTCACGGAACTCAGGTGCTCCAACGTCAAGCTCGTCTTAATAGGAGTTGTAAATTCGACTGTAAGTATAAGCAAACCCATATCGGGCTGAAAGTTAAGTTCAAAGCCTATCAAATAAAATAAAATTGAATATGGACCCTTACAAAGCCGAACTCCTAAGAGCAAATTTTAACGCTCCCGTCTATTTTGGAAGTTTATCTTCACTTTTGGCTAGTGTGCAATTACTATTATAATAGCTAGCAAGCATATGATATGCTATAGACTGGGCAATTGAAAGAAGGCTCACAAGAATGTAAAAAAAAAATGTTAATACTTAATACGCAAACAAGAATATAAAGAAAAAATCGTTGATACGGTTACCTGCTTGCTGTTGACGGGGCCTGCAGGCAACCACAGGCAACATGCTGCGAGTCCCGGTTAACATGCCTCAAGCCCTAGAAAAGCCAGGCTTCATAGTGATATAATTTCGCCGATTCATTTTCGCTCGAAAAGTAACTCTGTTCTTTTATCGTATTCACATAGTTTATATAATATCTGTGTTCATTTGCCCTTGTTTCGCTTTATTTTTTGCTTCCCAGCTTTTTGTATTGTACAATTCCGCTACTAAGCTGCAAGCGCGAGCTATTCGCTTAAGGATGCATCTCGGTTGCGCGAGATCTCGATCAGCAGGAATAACTGCCAAAAATAAAGCTACGAGCTCTGGATTCTAGGCTTCAAAAATATCACCATTAAAAGACAATATTTCTTCGAGTACTATAATAAAAATCGTCGGAAAAGCAAGAACTCTCAAATTTACTGATTTTTTTTTTTTTTTTTTGAGACACGTTGGGCTTAGTTAATGCTTGAGTGAATTGAGCAACGGGAACGACAGTTTATACTTTCTCTCTTGTTTTATTAAAAATGACAGCACGTTGGCGGGGCGGTGTCACTTTCATTATTGTTATCACATCAGGTCAAGGCCCGAAGTAGTCATGTGAAGAACTCGAATCGAAAGATGTCACTGGCAGGTTCACAGGTTCTCTGTCCCTCGCCCTTCCCCCCCCCCCCCCCCCCCCCCCCCCCCCTGTCTTACGTTGGCCATCGACATTTCAAGTCTGGGATATCTGGCTCCCAGGCTCAAAGGACTTTAAGACCAAAGGAGTTTCAGATCACATTTTAGACGGGCTGTTTCAACCCGCCGCGTATACAGCATAGTTTATATTCAGTTTATAGAAGCGGAATATATTATCAGGTGCATGGACAAGCCCAAAAGAAACCCTGATAAAGCAATGGCTTCTGACAGTGGTAGATACATGGAAGATAGCACAGGTATTTCCAGGTAATGAGAGCGTTTCGTGATATATGTTTGCTCATAAAATATTTCAGAGCGCGGCTCTTAGGCGCCCGTTTGTGTGTTTCGCAACGTCGGCGTCGGCGTAACCGCGCTAAATTTATCGAGAAAATTGACGAAACCTGACCTCAACAGCAGTTCAGTTTCCTCGCTAAATTTAGCGGGGAATATGACATCACATGACTTGGTGTCACGTCCGCTATGAAAAAAATGTAGTTTCTCCGCTAGATTTAGCAGGAAGTTTAACGTCACGTGACCTCAACAGCAATTCAATGCCACGCTAAATTTGGTGGGAAAATTGGCGCCACATGACCTCAACACGAATTCAATTTCCTTGCTAAATTTAGCGGGGAAAATGACGTCACGTGACCTTAACAGAAACTCAATTCCCCACTAAATTTGACGGAGGATCGAATTGCTGTTGAGGTGACGTGGCGTCAATTTTTCAGCAAAAATTAGGGGTGAAACTGTGAGAGGAGGGTAGGGTACGGAGGAGGAGGATGGGCGGATTCGCAGGAGGTGGAGGAGGAGGGGAGGAGAGGGGGAGCGTAAAAGGGGAGGAGGAGGAGAGAGGGGGAGGAGTATGGAAGGAGGAGGAGGAGGGGAGGAAGATAGGTACAAAGGAGGAGGAGGGGCACACTCCCATCTGTACCTTCCCTCCGTACCCACCCCTCCTCCTCCTCAAGAGCTGCACTCTAATTTCGCGTTACAGAGGTTTGTAAACGTCTTTCATCTTTTTAATGAACCATTCGTGCACGGATCGGGGAAAAGTCATGAATGGAACTGATCAACGACTGACGCTTGAGGTCGTGCTTTTCAACTGAAACTACGCAGTTCAGCCTTTTGGTTGTAAAAACCAGACCACAAAACAAAATGCAGGGTTTTAGAATATTAATCGCTTTATGATAAACTACTAGTTATTCTGCCTAGATCGTTGTAGATGTGAGCACAATCAAATTCTCGCTCGTTGGAATGTTTAAATTGGTAGTTAAAGCCACATTTGTATCTAAACTTCACAAGTTATTCGCGTTTGTAACTTCTAAGTGTAAAATAAAAATGTGTGATTTCGTACCCAGTTTCTATGTCTTCAATGGTATGATTAATATGTCGTTTATTTTTTTTATTAATAGGCTAAAGACGAATCCATATTCGAGATATTCAAAAACACAACAAAGAGCAGCGGAAAGTCTCTCGACCCACATCTCACGCTTGGACTCTTCAGGGAATGGGCAAATAATCAAAGTTTCTTTAACCATAGCGATGTGGTTTATTTGATAACAGGGTATGTGGGCCTTTTTGTGCATTCATATGTAAACCCGCAACAACGGCCGCAATTACTTTCAGTCACCAAGTTTTCGACTTTCTCTTGGCCTACCGACTGGAGATGAAAGGTAAGACATTCTCTATAGAAAAAGGTTTAATATACTGAGTCGCAGAGCTTTCTTGAACGTATTAACTTGCATTCTAACGCCCCGTGTGCAGCGCGCTACGGAATGGCGCGGCGGGCCCTGAGATAGAGCGAGTGTGGAGGTAGTGAACTGACCAATTCGGTCATTGTTTCCGCGAGTTGCGCGACAGCGTTGAAGTTGATTTTTAATGTAGGTGCAAGCATCATCTGGGCGTTCTGCCGTAAGTTTTATGAGAATAATTATGTTTTAAGCACAGGGTCGAATTGTTGGGGCACTGTTCCCCAGCAGCTGTTGAAGATGGTGTAGTAGTTGGGAGGGAGCTTGGTCCCCTAACTCTTCAAGAGTGAGCAGTTGTAATCTGCACTGCTCCGATGAGAAGGCTCGCCTAATCAGTTCTCCATTCAGTGTTTCCTTATTTTTCAGTTTTATTGCCTTAAGACCCTGTTGAGGGAGGCATTACATAAGGGAGTGTCATATTCAAGGTTAGAAAACAAGGAAACAAATTACTACAAAAGAAATAAAGAAAACCTTAGGAAACATTACTATATAAACATTATTGAAACATTTTTGAAATGAGCTGCGAAAAACATTTATGGCCACTGGCAGTTTTTTTTCTTCATTTTTTTTTATTATCCCTTTGTTATTCTTTTTAAATACACAATCGTTGCTTGGACCCATCGCCGCGGAGGCTAGTCGCGGATCCAACATTAGAATTAACCTTTACAATGCGGCAGGCAAACCATACAAATGTACGCAGATATCAAATTACACACAAAAACAATATACATACAAATTGAAAAATATAGACAAGACATATGGTATTGAACTTATTATTTGGCTTGCAAATTAATTAAATACGTCTATAAGGATGGCAAAATATTGGGTTTACATTTGATGTCGGTAGAGATATCATTCCATGCTAGGGCACCATTGAATTCAATAAGCCTTTCTCCATAAACATTTTTACAAGGTGACAAATTAAACAGATTAATTGCTGCAGCCCTCGTATTCCGTAATGGTAATTTAAATATATGTAAAGGAAGTGGGTCGCTAGTTTTTTTATTATTTTAAAGACTGTTTCAGCTATTTTTAAGTTGTATAGGAGGTGTAGTGGCAGCACACCATCTGATCAAAATAGAGGACCACTTTGTTCAGTATAACTAGAATTAGTATAATGAGTCTCACATCCATTTTTCCAAGCTTCTGCGCAACCCATTCCAATCCGATATGTATAATTGAAGAGGTAAGTATTTGAATATATTGGTTTTCGAAAAAAATGGGTTCAACTTTTCAAGGGTGGTCGAGACGTGAGGAAATATGATGGGGCGGGGAAATGAAGGTTTCCGGAGACCCCGGGTTATAGTACGATCTCTGCATGAATGTTAGCCGGTCTATTTTTCTTCGAGTGTCAAGAGTTTGTAGGAATATGGACTATTTTAAAAAAAGAAATGTTATTCCTAGTGTGGTTACGAGTAATAAAACGAGTAGCACGATGTTGGACAGCTTCTAGCTGGTTAATTAAATAGCTTCGATGTGGGTTCCATATCACTGATGCACACTCCAGCTTAGTTGTGACTAGTGTAACATATGCTAAACGTTTAACAAAGGAGTTTGCGAGAAAAAAGATGCCATCTTAAAACTCCAAATATTTTGTTAGCTTGAGAACAAATGTATGCATCTTCGTATGCCCCTTTGCGTAGGCATCTTTGCGTGGGGCTAATAATAAGACATCGAAGTTTCGTCGCAACTTCAGAACGAGCATTGTGGTGATATAATAAAATTTCGTAATGTGTGTTGTGATTCACGCCGTAGAAAACTGGGATCCCACTCGCGCGAACGAAAACTGGGGTTCGGAACATCAAATCTGAGAGACGGCGTTGGACAGCAGCCGCCTGCGCGCTGTCTGGTCCTGTAGCCATGATGACTGCGTTACGATGGCTTGTTGTCGAGGCGAGGAAAACGGTGAACGCTTAAGGGGTATCGTCAGGGACCGTGTCATAATTAATACGCCCGGCCTTACGAAAGTCGGAGAGTTCATGTACTTATGGACTGGATAGCAGAGAAAACGTGAATGGATGTGGCGGTATGACTGTGTTAATTTGTAATACGTGTCTACGAAGTCGTCCTCCTTGCGCCATTCACCTTTGTTGTTGCTATCGTTGCTGTTCAGCGAAAGGGTATACAGGGCTTTCTTTTTCGCTTTCAATGTGGTCAGGTGAGTTATATATATTACAGGGGACTAACCGTCACGATCAGTGAATTACCTATGATTTGTAAATGAACTTTTTAATTTGTGGTAATATTCATATGGTTTTAAACCTTGCTAATCTCCACCAAATACCTCAAAATCCGTAATTTTAAGAAGGTCTCTGACCGCGTGTGAAGCGCAGTAGTTCGCCAAAGTTACCACTCGTGCAACAACCATAAGGCTGATGGAGAAAAAACGCGGATGAGGAGAGAAAGAAAAAATTAAAGCCGTTTACAACTCCTTGTAACGCCGAATTAGAGCGCACCTCTTGAGGAGGAGGAACGAAGGGTACTGAGGGTCACGTGCGCTCAGAGGGTGGGTCACGTGACCTCCGGGGGGGGGGGGGGGGGTCACGTGACCACGGGGGGGGGGGGGGGAGGGTCACGTGACCTCGGGGGGGGGGGGGGGGCAGTATTCGACTAGATTTAGCGGGGAAATTTTTCTGCTAGATTTAGCGGAGAAATTTACCCATAATGCACCGCGCGGTACGCCGACGGCGACGCCGCTCAAGCCGGAAATGGGCGCCTAAGAGCTGCACTCTAAAAACACGAAGTGCGTTCTTTATTTATTTGTTTCAGGGATGGGCAGTATTTAAAAAACAAGTATTTAAATACGTATTTCAAATACTTTGTGTATTTCGAATTTGTATTTAATTACAAATTGGATAATGTATTTGATGTGTGTATTTAAATACTAAAACGTGGGTATTTCATATACAATTCTAATTAAATACAATTTTGTGGGCGAAAATACATCCCTCAAATTTATTGTCACTGTCCAGAGCAGGAAGAAAACTACCTTCTGCACCGAATGCAGTGTCTCTCAATCAAGCACAAGCGTTTAGTGACTTTGTGGTTACGGTGCTAGTCCAAGGCAAGAATAGTGATGAAATCGACGTTCACAGGCAGACTGGCTAAATAAGTGCCTGTGACAACTTGTGATGCTTTCCAGCCTGATTTCCTTCCATATTTTTGCCTGGAACATTCTAAATGCGCGGGTCGTCCAGATTTTCGTAACTGGTGTGAGTTGCAACACGAAAAAAAAAAATTATCTAGCTTGTGCTGCGCGTCTTGGTTGTCTCGGTTCTTTGTTGGTTTATACCAAAATGTAATCGCCGAAAAAAGCTGCTTGAAGCTCTGTACTTTTTCACCTATTAATGATGTCCAAGCTGATTACATTTTTTTGTGATTATATTTCTATTACGTTACTAGAGCCTCGCACACTAACTCCCGAGTGTGCGATGCAGAATTAAAGTGAGATACCCAGAAACCCGTTGCAGGTGCCCTGAAGTTGCTGACGCAAATTTTGAGGAATGTATTTGGAAAAGTATTTGGAGGAGACCAAATACATTTGGTTGTGTTTGTATCTTGTACTTAAATGCTTTTTTAGAAATGTAATTAGATTTGTAACTAACTACATTTTTTACGAAGTATTTTGTATCTGTATACCGATACATATTTGCAGGTATTTTGCCCATCCCTGATTTGTTTATTTTAAATAAAAATGTTGATTCACGTATTTTAGTTAATTGGCCCCCTTATCACGACGATTAGCCCCTACATTGTGTTCCCTTAGCCGAACAACTCACCTGAATAGACTGCGTTAGTGTAGCACTCCGACTTTTTTAAACAAATCTGCAAAGCCTAAAAATACCCTGTATATATAAGTTTCTTTGCATATGTGCTCAAGGACACCTGACATATGTTCGAGATACAAATCGCTCGAACCATTGTGCTAAGTGGTAAATTAAACAATGAATTGTTTGCAGGGTGTTTCTTGTGATTCATTTATTTATCTCAGCCGTATCTTCGTTTAATTAGTCGACTCACAGACACCAAAGGGTCGTGGACGATGGGTAAGAGTAGCAGCCAAGCTTAACTAAGTCTTAAAAGTGGTCACAGTATACGACATACTTCGTCACATTGTTCTTGCTACCCAGCAGTTTTAAAGAAAGCACGTCTAGTTTACTTTCTTCGCGTCATCACTGAGAACACCAGGCTGTCAACAAATTATGTTTGGTCTTGGAGTGAATAAACAAACTCGACTTTTTATAGTAATGAGCCTTGCTTTATAATTGCATTTTTAGGCAGATTCTCGTAAACACAGATTCCGCTGTCGTCACTTGGTGAGACACAAGGAGGGAGAGGGCTCGGGAGAACGTAGCTTCCGCTGCGATAACGAAACGCTTCTGGCTACCAGAAAGAGGGGCAGACTGACGTCAGGTGCAAACCATGTATGGGTTTTGGATTGAAATACAAAAAGTGATGTCTTATAATTTCGGTGACAACATAACTTATGCTGCTTGTTGCCCCAGGGGCTGTGTACTAACCGTGCTCCTAAAACGCGCACATGAATATTTCATCTTGATGCAGCTATTGTATACATGTATTATATTACCTGAAGCTATAATTCCCTATTACTTCTGAGATAAAATGTACAGACAGAGATGTATAACAAAAACTTGCTGACGAACCGCGGCAAATCCCACAAATAAGCAGAACCATTATTTGTTTTAAACATACACGAGATTTGAAATAAAAATATATTTAATCTTTGAAGGCACCAGGAACATGACAATAAGAAAGCTAACCTGAGTTCACCATCACCCATTAAACCGTAATCGTCGTATGAAAACTATTTATTGATCGTAAAAACTAATCACAAATATATATAGTTTAGTAATTTGCATACGCGATCTACGAAGGTTGATTAACCATACTTGATTTTCTAGAAACAAATGTTATTGAAATCGTTTATTTTTATAACTAAGTAGACTGCGGCTGGAATTTCTTTCTGTGATGTATACAATTCTCTGGCCTGTATGGATTTCCGGCAGCCGCATCCTACGCCTTCGGGGTGTGTTCGAGGCGGAGGGTGGCACTCAGCTCGGATGACGGCAAGTCATTTTCGGGCGTTCCCGCTGCAGTTCAACAAATCGCTAACTTGTGAGTCGATATCTTTTCTATAGATTGCTCTTATTATAGTGTTTGGGGGAGGTGCATCAATCAAGATATCATTGTATTTATTTTTGGGCTATTTAAATAAAGCTCATAGTTATTGTAGTATTATTTTAATAAATATTTACTCTCGTACCACTCCACCTTAATATTCTCTAAAACATTCTAAAAATATCCTTTCACATAGAGAATTAAATAAATATGAAGGAAACTGTAAACCAAAACATTTGCAGGTTTCTACTTCAGTTTTTTTAATGTAAAAATGCAATACATACTCTTAAGGTCACTACCAGTTCTAAATTTTATTTTGCTCTTAATATATTTGCAGATTGATAGTGCATACTAGAAATGAAAGATAAGTAATAATTGAATCCACATGCCTGAGTGGATTATGTGAAAGGTGAACGTGACGAATTATTTATTTTATGTACTGACGTTTATTTAAGGATTGAACAAACATGCCCGAAATTATATTTAATGATTTTTTTTATTTGAAGGGACACAATCTACATTATATTGAGCAGCATTTCAAAGCGACTACTCTCTAAAAAACTTGACTGAACTGTCATTATTATTACTGACACTTTTTATATTGTACATATTTAAGCAGCATTAGTATCCGTGCTCACTCTGCGAAATAATGTATTTGATTGACAATTTCCAGCAATAAACTTTTCGCAAAACTCGCTCGTAATTTAAACGTAATGTGTGCCACTTTCTGTCTCTAGAAGGTCACCAGCACTAGTTTACAATATAAACAATTTCATCATAAGGCGCGATTATTTTTAAGTCGGAATGGTAAGATGTATATCCCTGTGTTTTATTTACAGGTTGGGAATTGATTGGGACGATAATAGGAAAAAAGACGGGTGTACTCCTCTGGATGGTCATGTGATGAGCAGAAATGGTGAACCCACCCAGCATCCAACCTTCTCAGAATGCAGCAAAGATTCGTGGGATCAGCAGATTGAGATGTCTCTTCGGTAATATTCTGGTTTTCGTTGCAATGTTTTTGCACTGTATTCACCGGTTGCTATATTAATGCTCCAAAAAATGTGCTGAACTGCATTTGTTTTAATTTATTATTGCTGTTAGCAAATAACCCATTCAAGTTATAGGACGTCTGTCACGCCGATTACACGCACTTACACATATAATTAGGGTTTATAGAATAAAAACGTATTTCAAAACAACGCATATTTTGTTTCTATACTTATAAGTTCGGCAAGAATAAAATCTTATATCCACTTTTCAAAAGATTTCTATTCTATAGACTTTTAGCCAGAGCTGTCACTATCATATAGTCAAAATGTATTCTAAATTTTAAATAAACACTAACAGCGACGGGGAAAACATAGAACTAAGTTCACTCCGTGACACAGTTTGGAGCATCTGTTGTGTTGTGGCCGAGTTGAAATTCCTTAGATCACATTACTTTATATTCCACAGTGCAAATAAAACTACGTTGTTTAGCATGGATTATTCGTCGTAGAGGTTCGCCTTTTTCTTCATCGCTTTATGAAGCATCAAGTACAATGAAAGAGACAAGCACAAAAAGGGGTGCGTCTATTCGATGACCAATCACAAGGACTGATGTGTCCACAAATACATGAGAGTGGGCCTCTTGTTCACACATGTTGCACTAGTATTTTACGTTGGCTAATCAAAGCTCCGGGATTGCTGCAAAATAAACTATCATAGGGTTCAGAAAAAATTCAAGAAATGGCCATCTGAAATTACAATTAAATTTAGATTTATTGTTAGGCAAATCTAGTAACACAAGTTGCAAGTTAAGTTGAAATGGCAAAATATATGAAAAAAGTTGAAATTCTCAAAACAAGAACACTATACGGTATGCAAATTCACTATCAAGTGTTAAATACGTTGCTCTTAAAAACAAGTGTATAGAATGTTCGCTTTCAAAAAGTAACATTGTTTCTTTTTAATTTTATAAATGCCGTACTTAAATTTTCCCACATCCATGTAAATATATTTCATGCCTTAGAAAAGCGATTTCTTTTTCGATCTTGGAGCAACATTGAAACGAAGACGTTGTAAACTTATATGCTTACTGCTCTAAATGTAAAACTGACATCTAAGTCAATTTCAGATTTTTCAGCGAGTTAAAGTTTCAGGCAGGTCGTATTCTCGTACAAACTTCAACACTCTAAAAAAAGGGTATCACCTTGGACCCTTTTGTCCCCCATAATGCACCCCAAAATTTAAGTTTCACGAACAGCGCACTGTAGTCGAACAGACGGCCCCAAAATTTACGAGGCGCTGGATTACGGTGCGATATAACTGTTTAAATTTCTAAAGTACGTGTCAAAGACCATAGAATCAAAACACTGAGGTTTGCAATAGGGACAAGGAAACCCCGATTATTTTATTGTAGTCAGTAACACGCACATGAGATATTTTTATAAGTTGTACCACTCGGCTATCAAGACGCTCGTGAAAGTTAGTACCGTCAGATTAAAGTTAGTGGGCTGTACGTAGAACTGAAGTTTTGGAGTGTATTATTTGGGACAAAGGGTGTAAGAACACACCTTTTTCTTCTTTTTTTTTTTAGAGTGAAGGCGTTGTTATACTGCTACGTCTCCCGCGCGCACACGAGCGCTGGCTGAAGTCTGCTGCCTCACGCCGGTTATGCTGGGCCCGTCAGAAAAACGTTACCCTCTACAATTTAACCTCATTCAAGTTCTGCGATGGCGCACTGCCATCGCGGCGCATGCCAAGACCGCCACCTCGAGCGCGCGCTTTTCCTTTTTTTCTCCGAGGCGCCGTCGCGCCGTTTCCAGTCCTACCGTGTGCTGTTCCGTGCTCTGTTGTAACTAAATACATTGATCGTCTTTGTGTGTGTGTGTGTGTGTGTGTTTTAATATCAAAGCATTAACTGTCCCATCGAGCGAATCGACGTCATCAGCTTTTGAAGCCGCGTCCCCTGTTCCAATGGAGCGAAGCCTGTCGTGTGTAGCAGACATCTGATGGATGTCTGCTACACACGACCTTCCTTCAAGGAGCGAGCCTCCCATTGATTCTCGCGCTGCGTAGTTCCAAGAAACGCCACCAGAGACGCCCTCTCCATTTCGGCGCTGCGGCTCGGCTGCCGGTAGAAGAAAGCGGCTGGCTGCGGAGCCCGCAGAGCCCACACGGGCAGACTCCGGAGTGGCTGCACGGCCGAGCTCAGCGCGGCATGGCCACTTCACGACAGCGCGCTTGCGGATCGCGATTTAAAGCTTCTCAGGCGGCGAGAGGAGGAGGCCCTTCGACAACGCCAGGGGGAAGCAATAAGTTGAAGGCAGAATGTTTTGAATTCACAACTCATAAGAAGTTCTTAAGCGCCCTGAAATTTTTTTTTAAATGGCTTTTTTTTTGGAGGGGGAGGGGGGATGGCCTGGACGTATTCAGCACGCACAAAGATGGTGATAGCACTGTTCTTGCATCTCCTGCGCCGCCAGCGCAGTGAGTCGAAACATATAACACGTGTCAATACCAAACTGCTGCCGAATCGTTGCGAAGTTTACTTTTTTTTTTTCTTGGTCTCTATAGTCATTACACTTCGTGTAGCAGACACAAGGATGTTGCCGTATCGAGGAGCTTCTCGACCACAGTTACCGTCTCCTCCGCATCGCTTCAGGGCTTTCCGCCGATCGTGTCCGTATAATGTGCCGCCATTTCCAAATACCGCTGCTGTCTGGCTTGCCCGAGCGAAATGCGTGCGGACCCTAAGAAGCCCACGGCTTCGACGCAGCCGGTTCGAATTTGCTGCGAACCGATCTTCGCGCCGCCGGTGACGTCGGCTGCGTCAGGACAGCGCCTCTATTCTAGAGTGTCTGCTTTCCGTCAATGTAGCGTCGTTGTGCCGCTCGCGCAGGCCTCCGAGCCTTACGTTGAAGTATAGAGGGCTCGATATAATCGGACGTAATCGGCGCGGCCGTCAGCGGTGGTCGGCGCTAGCTACGCTGGCCCTTGCGCGTCTCAGATGCTCTTCTCTACAGCCCGCCCTGCTCCGCATCGACCTCTTCGAAGGAGGACCATCTCCATCCTGGAGCAGTCTTTAGGTATGGGGTGTTCTTCTTTGGGCAGGGAGCTGAGAAGCTTGGCGCGAGCTTCTTTCGGTCTTCTGAGGGTGTCCTCAGGGTCGTAGAACTGGCCATTGGTTGCAGGAACTCCAGAAGTGGAGGGGGCTCGAGGCGGCTGCGAGAGGAACAAACCTGCTAACACTCCCGCTGCGCAATGAACAACCTCATTGCCTGGGATTCCCGAGTGTCCAGGGATCCTGTGTAGAGCTATTTTAGTGTTGCGTGTGTCATTGTGTGAGTTCTTGATGTATCATTAAATGTTTTGCACCACCGTGCTCCGGGACTCCAGGTGCTACTGCTCAAGTGCGTCGAGCCGGGCGAGCGTGCACAGAGCATTCTGGTCGGGCTAGCGTTGTGCGAAATAAAGCGAGCCCTATTCCGCGACGACACAGCCGAAGCGCACCGGCCGCCGCCGGTTGCGATGGCGATCGCCGAGGCGCCGGGCTGTAGAGTGCCGGCTCTTCGACAAGGTGACCTAGCCATGCTGCCCGTACGCGCGCGGTCGCGTTATGTCGGATTATAGAGAGCTCTTAAGAGCGCCTTAACAGTTAACACGTCATCAGCGTTTTCAAATGGTAAATAAAGCCATTGATCTCCCCACATTTCAATAAATTAAGATGCCAAATCCTATTGTCACGCGCGTCGCTGAGCGAGCGCGTGCGTGGCCGAATGGTTACGGGACTTGCCATATCGCGCGGAATCTCCAGGTTCGATTCCAGAGAGCATAATGTCGTTTTATTTATTTATTGAACTTAATGTTCTCGTAAATTCTAGAACCTTCTCGTGTGATCGAGTTACGAATGTTCTATGCACCGAAAGTTCTACGCTGAATGTTCCAGACGCCCATACGTGTACATAAGGCGCTCTGGGCGGCGAGCTGGGATCAGTCCCGCCCCAACATACGATCCTGCTGTTGCGCCGCCACCGACGCCTGCAACGCTGACCTTCTGTTATTTTGTTTTGCGCACAAGTTGGCCCCTGTTAATGTTTAGTTTGTCCAGTTATTCGCCACCTGATCATTTGTAATTCCTGATAATATTTCGAAGTAAAAAGGAAAAAAAAAACTCGTGGGTCACAAAGAGCAAATGGTTTGTGTGCTACATAATTTGTGTTAACATATTCTACCTTGTGAACTAATGGCAAAAACATCAAAGGCGTCTTCCTACGATAGAGTAATTCTGCGACGCATTATGGAAGATTTTACTTATTCATTGCACATGTAAAACATTATTTCACATAATTTAAGTTAGGTTCACACCCCAAATTTCCACATACCTATACTGGAAACTGCGTATATCTTTTAACCTTTGCCAACTTCTGCAACTCTTGGTCCCTGGGAAACTTAAATTTATCGTAATGTTCACAAGCAGACTTCCATTGACGAGTTTAACAGCTTAGATAAGTAAGATATCCCAGGATATCCTCGCATGCTTGTATATTTTGATAAAAATGAGGTACGTGCATTCCTTAGTGAGGTAGGCAAATTCGAAACTATTCAGAGGTTTTAGGAGAACGCGATTACAGTAATAATATGCCTCAAAATTATACTGAATACCTTTCTAAGTTCTTAATGATTAAACATTGCTGTGGCATATTTTTTTCTTGTCGTATCTGCTAACGTGCGCGACTCGTATTATCTTTGCCTTTAGCGGATCGCCATGCTACAAGTTAAACATGTCGTCATCCACTTCAGAGCGCAGAACTCCGTATACATTTTTTAACTGCACGGAGCCATGCAAGAATATTACCAAAGAAAGTCAGAGCAATGTGCTCAATGCGGTAAGATTATAATTTGCGCATTTTTATACTATAAATTTCCAACTTTTGATATTTATAAAACTTCTGAAATCAAACAATACTTTTTTTTAGGATATGTCTCCTGGTATTACACAGGAATTATTTAAATAGTTTCCGGAAGCGGTAATGCAGTACTAGCTTTGAATCTATGCCACCAGGCAACCCGGCGTAATTTTAAAGAAATTAAACTTTGATTATCTAAAACATAACAAAAAAAAAAAAATGCATAGATGTGAGACAAAACACAGCATTACAGCTGTTATTACAATTCGTGTCCGATTACTATGATTACAAAAGACTTATGAGCATCTTTTTTATTTTTTTTTTATTTAGCTTTATGCATTTTGTAACAGTCCAAATTGGCGAGCGATTCCGTTCCGTAATTGCCAGTGGTAGTGTTGTATTTGCGAAACCAGAATCATAAATAAATTTAATTTCGCACACATTTTCAACTCAAGAGGAAATTCGGCCCGGGGTGTTGGGAAGTACAATTTTCTTCGTCGGGTGGTGATATATCTTACAAGAAAGGAGCAGTCAGGAAAGCTTTTGTCTCAAGGAAAGTGTTTGGAGGCCTGCACAATTAGGAAATGACGTGACGCAGCCATATGAAGAACAGTCTGAACATATATAAAGGGCGTCTTAAAGGGACACTGACACCCCCAATACTGCTTTTGTTTTATATTTTGCCATGCCCTAATAAGGTGTCAGGAGACTATCCAATCAATATTTTGCTACAGCGTCGCATACACTTTAAATAAAGTTAAAGATCGCAACTCCTCGAAAGCTAAACCGAAACTGGACTGGAAAGGAAGAACAAACCTAGAGGAGGAGGGAGTTGCCGGAAGTCACGTGGCTACACACGACCGCGTTTTCCTTTTTTTTTTCTTTCGTTTTTTTTTTTTTTCCTTTTTCAAGCTCTTACGAATTACTACTGTTCGTAAGAGGAGCGTTGTGCGTTCAGCCAGGAGAAGGGGCGACGAATCGGTGATGTTTTCGTGCGAATCATCTTGGTGGTCGGACCTGTCGTACGGAAAAGACACTAATTGTTTTCATCTGTAAACGATTTATCTTTCGAAGCTAGACAAATTTCCCGATACCGGGAACAACAGTTCTGAAGTAGAGTTCCCGCGCCCGTCGTCCGCCGCCATCACTTAAGGCGCGTTCCCACCGGCGATGCGATCTAGTCGCGCGATAACTTTCACCGCAAAAGCGACCATCGCGGGCAAAAAGCGACGCGATTTGAGCAGTCGCTTCTCAACCCGACTTTTTTGCGATGCCATGTAGTCGCGGAGCGGCTGATCCAATCAACGGCGTTCGGAGCGAGTTTTTGAGAAACGACTCGCCAACGAAGGCGTTGGACTCGCTCATCGCACACGCGGGTATGACCATCTAATTTTTTTTGCGATGCGATCTAGTCGCATCGCGCGACTGCTTATATCGCCGGTGGGAATGCGCCTTTAGTAGCCGCTTCGTACAATCGTCCAGCCCAAAACTCCAGCGATACGACGCCATGTTGAGAATTACGCAAGGATTGCAGAAAGTGCTTCAAGTTCTCTGTGTAACTTTTTAATGCGAAAGCATTAACTTTCTCATGGAGCGAGTTGACGTCATCAGTTTGAAGCGCGAAAACGGCTCCTAGTTTCCGCCGCGATCCCAATAGGAGCGATTCGCCTTCGGCTCCATTGGCTGGCGCGCGTCGACGGGGCTCCCATTGGCCGCTGCGCCATGGCCTCCGAGATCCCAAAGCGCGCGCGCGCTAGTACGCAGCAGACGACACGGGAAGCGGACGAGCGGCTTGCATGCTTTCGCATTCACAACTCATAAGACATGCTGTGTACCTATAGCTTTTTTCTTTTTTTAATCAATGTATTTGTAGCTTTTTAAAAACCACAAAAATATTTTTTTTCTTTCTAATTTAAATATTGAGTGTTTGTCTTCAATGACGCACGATTTTCATTATGTTTGGTGTATGTGTCTGCAACATAGACAGCCGGACGTGAGCCCGGAGAAGAAAGTGAGCGAGGCCTAAACCGGCCAGTTTTCGATCGGCGGTTTTCAGGCGGAGAGGAAACCAATTTCGGGCTGCAAATATTGTTCTGGGTAGTTGGGTCTCGTATGTCATGTTCAGATAAACACTTGGTGAGCATAAATACCCTGTCAGTCTTCCTTTTTTGCTTTGTTTTTATCCGTTTTATTTTTTTAGCGCGATAACTATGAAATAGTGACCGGATCGATTACACATATTCAATTTGTTACCTAGCAGGGTCGTCTAGGTTAACATATTTATCTATTCTAAAGTGAACTACGATTCAGTCTTGGATACCTAAGTGTGCGGTTAGACTTGAAAACAATTTCTTTAATGTGACTGTTCCATTTGAGGTCGCTTGTAAGTTGAAGTCTTAAATACTTGTTTAATGTGAACAGACCAATGCTTATGCTACTAAGTGTTAGGAGATATTACAGGAGGCGACACTGCTGTGAATGTTTGTAACTTGAATCTTTTTCATCTTGACACTTATCTGTCAGTCATGACACCACTCTTCGACAATGTTTCGGTCGTTTTGTAGCGCTACTTGATTGTGTGGGGTCGTGATAGATATGTAAATGACGCAGTAATACGCAGAAAATTACACGCTTATGATTTTAAATTTATCAAGTCATATATATGTTAAAATAATAATAAACACAGAACAATTCAGCATACAAGGTTTCAAATAATTTACAAGATATCGTCTTGTTAATGAAAGTGTAGTGGGAGCGAATCTTGGCAAACTTCGTGATTCAATATTTTATGGGTGGTTGAATTCTAATACGTGTTAGTTTTGTAATGAGGACTCTATCAACCGATTTTGCGAAGGCGAGAAATATGACGTCAGTTTGAACGTATTGACATAATTGTGTCAGTTCGAAGATACTCACCCTATGAAGTACCTGCGCGCGTCTACTTACACGTAAAACACGCAAAGAGTCAATCTCTAGGATTTAGGAAATCAGCTTAGCGAATGATGAGGCCGAACATCTGTTTAGACCTCAAAGGTGTAAAATACGCAGGTGCTCCAACCTTTTATTTATTTATTTATTTCCTCGTATATCAACACTAATCAAATCAAAATTTATTTTTCATCATTAAGTACAAAGTACAAATTGATGTTTGGCCCGCAAACAAAAAGCCACAAGACTGCGGCTAGACTGGACTCTTGTGGCTGGACTGGACGTCTGCACCGTGCAGTTGCCTGGCTGCAAGAATAAGTAGGGAAGGGCCCGTTCGAAAAATTGGAAGCATGACGTGACTTAATCTCTCCCTGTTTTCTTCCGAAGTCAGCCTTCCATCGATTTTGGTAATAGGGCCGAGACCCTGGGTGGTGATGGCACCACAGAACTCGATAGAAGGACGCCAGCTCGGTTGAACTTCCTGCTGGTATCTGGTGCCGCAGCTGTAAATAATAGACACAATTGAGTCAGTAGTTATTGTGATTTATCCCATATTTTAAAGAAAAGCCGAGAAAAAACTTTGGTTTTTGTATGTATGTAACCAGGTGTTTATATATTTTTATAATTTGGATATGTCGGCCAATTTTACCTATTTTTGTTGGCCGTTTGAAGTGCCTTAAAAGCGTTAGTTTGTATGACACAGAAACGAGTCCCCATTGAACTTTTTTTTTGGAACGTCGTAAATTATTGTTATTACCTTATATCTCTCTAAAATGAGTTAATTTGGTTTTCGATGATTCGCAGCAGGTTTCTCGTTAAACGATATGCTTATTTTCACTTATTAATGAGTTAATAAATAAACTGAATCTAATTATTTAGCTAATTAGCTTGTATCTTGAAATTCTGGCGTTGACCGTTGCTGGCAGTATGTTCCCGCAAATGTGCTTTCTTTTTTCTCAGCCGCCCTATTTTTAGGGATTTTCATAGCCTTCGCTTAAACACCTGCATACGCAGCATACGCTCAGATACACTGATTATTAGATGCGCAGAAATGCTGTGCATAAACCGATAGTGCATGCACATAACGGTCTGAATGCATAACTTACTCTGCAAGGTGTCTTTTTTTTTTTTATCCTGAACATGCCTATAATCTAAAGTTACAATTTATGTGAATAATTCAGAAATATCTCAAAATACTTGATTCGAACTAGATGAAAGCACTCCACCGGATATTGATTGGAAAATACATGTAACCAAGTATTTTCTATTTCGTTTTTATTTCATTTCATTTGTCAAGCAATCAGCAGCGAGAGAAAATTCGAAGACCCTGGATGTATGTAAAATTAATTGTTGCCCGCAATATAACAAGCAGTTTCTTGGAACCAACAAAGGAGCGCCGGATGGAATGCCGTGTGGACCGCTTCAGGTGGGCTGTTTTTCTCTTCTCACTACTCCTTGGGGAGACTCATAATACGCTTCCGAAGTACGGCGTGTTTGTGAGAAACCCGAACCCCGCTTTTTGCACCGCAAAAACAAACTAGACATCGCGCGGAGCTTCAACTCCGTCAAAACGAAGCCCCAGCCATTCGAGCAAGATGCCAAAGTTTCAGTACAAGCAGTCATCTTACTCAAAAGTTATAAGCAATTTTCTTAACATTTTAATGAAAAAAATAGCGGCCGACGGTGCTCTCAAATACATGGAGCTCTATGGCGCGAGAACCCCAAAACGGCCAAAAATAGGCCCGATTTTTGCATTGAAATATTCAAAAAATGACTTATAAATTTTGAATTAAGATAACGGTTGGTGCTGAAACTTTGGAATCTTGCTCGAACGGCTGGTGCTACGTATTGACGGAGTTGGAGCTCCCCAGGATGTTTAGTTTATTTTTTGCGGTGCGAAAAGACGGGTTCAGATTTCTCACAAACACCCTATATATACGCACTCTGAAGATAAGGTCCAAACGTAAATAAATAATACTCCATAAAGACAGAAACGGTCCGGTCAAAATACACGTTCAATACAGCCGCCTTGCAGCGGGCTGCCTAGAGTAGGTCAAACTGATGTATTTTCGTAGTTTATTGTGTTAATTAAAAATAGACACACTAACAATTTATGGAAACACTGATGCAAGATAATTGAGGTTGAGTAATACCGAACGATATTCCAGAGCCACTGACAACCCCAACATTCGTACTCAATATTTCGTCGAACGCTTCACGATGGTATAATCGGCCATTCCAACAATTGCCTACTGCGTGCTGCCTTCGTCGCCAACTTGGCCGTGGAACGCCATTCGAGTTGCACAGTCTTCTCCAGACTATCAGACGCAGTGCATACATTCACAACCCAGTGACTAAGCAGTTTTCGGACGGATGATAAGGTGGAAAGTTGTGGAGCCAAAAACGAAATGTCATTGTGTTTAGTGCGCAAACGCGGTTGTCAAAACCTCGTGTTATTGTCCCCAGGCGTACTTCTTCTCGCTTCTCTTTCATGATGACATAGATCTTTCAGAAATCTAGAACTTCCGCATGAATCATGTCTGCACCAATCGTTAGTGCAGTTATCAAATATAATTTTATAGCAATCGCAAACACACGACGCTGCAGATTTCGATATATAAAATTACAAATTTAGATCCCAAAAGCAATTGCAAAACGTTGCAAAAACAAAAAACAATAACTAAATATTGAGGGGTTGTCTGCTTGCGGAAAATGAAGACATGGTACGCGCGAAAAGAAAGAGGCGCGCTGTAGGCGGGCGAGCGTCTACGTGTATGTTTAGACGGCCGAAGTTAGACGGCCACGATGAGCATCATGGCTGACTTGCTTAAAACAGCGTCTCGGCTGAGACAGGGGGAAGAAAGTGCAACCAAAGCCAGCGCACAAGCTCAGCTGGACTCGAGCCGCGTCTCAAGACGCTCGCGCGCCTTTGCACTGCTTTCTTTCACTCTAAGCTAAGGAGGCTGTTCTAGCAAGCTGCCCTGGTGTCTCCGTTGTAGACGAGAAACTTAGCCGGTGCAGTGGCACTGCTAGACTGTGGCATAGCCTCCTCTATAGTCACAAAGTCTCTCAGTTCGACGACGGAACGATAGAGCACACGGTCGCAGATTTGGAGCGCGAGGATCTGGTAGCACATAGCACCAAAGGGCCATTTCTCGGAGGACCTGGACGTCAGCGCACAGCTTTTACAACGACTAGGACCCGAAACACACTTGATCGCTCGGGAGAAGTGTGTATCGGTGTCTCATTGCAGCAGGGCGCCCGTGACGTGGCTCTCCTCTCATCCGTTGTCTACCGCTCCACCTTTTCCATTCCGGATGCCGCTTCTCGTGGCGATCTCCCAGGCTTTGTTAGTATATAGAAGGCTATGACTGTGGTACTTAGCATGCATCACGCAGCGGCCAACGTAATACTGTACCGAAACAAAAACGGTATCGAGTTAAGTAATGTACGCCAATAAATGCCGCTTGCCAACCTTCGCTCTTAGAAGGCGAATACAATGAGACTTCCGCGCATATAGTCATTTGCATTACATTAGACCCGTCCCTCTTTAGACATTGTATTTTCGTCGATTGAGACGGTATGCCCCCCCAAAAGCAGCATAGTTTTGGGTATGAAGTACCCCGGCTTCACTTAGAAGGTTAGCCTGTGAACTAGATGTATTGTGAACTAGATGTAACAAATGTGAACTAGATGTAACAAATGCAAAAAAAATTGAAGTGTGTCTTCCACAGACAATATGTCAAGAAATATTGTTTTTTCACTATTATCATTTCAACTTCAATTACTATTGAAACACTATAGACTGCTTAGATGCCGGTCGCTCACTGAATTGGTGCATTCATTCCAACCCTATGCTTGTGGGTCCCGTTAGAATCCCACGAAAACGGGAAATTTAAGGTGTCCTTTTCCACTAGGTTATACCCCAATTATATGTTATATACTGCTGTAATACGAAGCACCTTGACACATGTCTGCGATTTTTGGTAAAATTGATTATCCATTAGCTCTTCCACTGTTCCATGGGCTGAGGCTGTGAAAGTTTTCTTACACAATTTAACCTGTGATAACTTGTGATCTGAGACGTCTAGATTACATCTATAACGTACCAATGGTAAAATTTTCTAGGCGACATGGAAGAAACCTCTTTCTTCGCGATTTTATTTCGTAAATGTTGTTTAAAGTTGTTGGGTTTATGAAATATGCCAAACCTCTCGTTTCCTGCTTTCTTAACAGGTATGCCTTCAGCAAGTGTGTCTCAAACTGCCGGAACAAAAGAGCGAAGTTAGCACAGTTCCAACGGGTGGTGACAGGTGACTTCAAATAAAGAAACCACTCTGAACCTTTAGACGTACCGCGTGCACTCTTTTTTCACGCGCAATAAATTATTCGCACATTTGAGATTGGTGTGGTCTGTCCAGGTTCTAGCTATAGGACTGGCCATATTCAAACCTTTGTTTGCACACGCGTGCGCGTGTATGTGTGGGCGTGTATTTGTGGGTACGCATGTGTTTGCGTGCATGTATATGTGTGTGCGTTTATGCGTGCGTGTCAGTGTGTTCCTGTGTGATTGCGTGTTCGCGCGTGTCGGTGCATGCATGGGTGCGCGCGTGTGTGTGTGCGTGGGTGTGAGTGCGGGCGGGTGGACGTCAGTGCGTTCATGCTTGTGTATGGGTGTGTATGTGCATATGTGTCTGTGATGTTTGCGTCCCTGTGTGCGTGCCTAATTTGGAGCATAATAAATGAAGGGTATGTTTTGTTGTCCCGAAATTCAGTGCGCGTTTTTTTTTAAATTTACGTTACTTTCTTTGTTTCCTGTACTCGAAAACGTTTCCCTTTCTAACTAAATCACGAGATGAAATAACTTTGCTGCTATCAATGTTGGTTCTCCCTCCTCTTTCGGGATCATCTTTGGGAGCTGAACCCTCTGGCACTCTGTCGCCAGAAGAAGGGTGTGCGGAAGAGGCATTGACAAGGGAGCCATAAAGCTCCCACGTTATTGCATCGTTTCCAATTGTTTTACCAATATCGCTAACAACAGCCACAACCAGAGGTCGCCATTTTAGGTCGCCCTCACTCACCCTCACCCTCACAGCCACACTCACCTAAGCCCCTCACTCACCCTCACCCTCACAGCTACACTCACCTTCAGCCCCTCACTCACCCTCACAGTCACGCTCACCTTCAGCCCTTCACTCACCCTCACTGCACCTCACGGCCCTCACGTCCCTCACGACCCTCACGGCCCTCACGCCCCTCACCGCCCTCACGGCCCTCACGCCCCTTACTCACTCATGGCCCTCACGCCACTCACCGCCCTCACGCCACTCACCGCCCTCACGACCCTCACCGCCCTCACCGCCCTCACGACCCTCACGCACTCACAGCCCTCACGCCACTCACGGCCCTCACGCCACTCACGGCCCTCACGGCCCTCACGGCCCTCACCGCCCTCACGCCACTCACCGCCCTCACGCCACTCACCGCCGTCACGCCACTCACCGCCCTCACGCCACTCACCGCCCTTGCGGCCCTCACACCCCTCACGCCCCTCACGCACTGATGGCCCTCACACCACTCAGGCCAGCTTCAGATGGGGCAATTTCGCCCAGAAACTTTACGTCGCAACACCAGCAACACGGGCCGCCCGCGATCACACGCAGCAACCAATTGCTGCAATTTGCCATCGTCATCATAAAATTTTATTTTTCTTGCACTATTTAGACACAATTCCGCGTTATAAACGTGTTTTTATGCATTTGAATCTCGTTAAGAATACTACCGCACCTTTCTGAAACAGTTTATTTCCAAAAAATGATCTATTTGAAACCAGAACCTAGTCTCTCGGTGTCATCATCACCGGCACGAAATATGACGTGAAAATTTTGCGTCCCTGATTGGATGCAGCCGCTTCAAACGTATTCGAATTGCTCCGAGTTGCTTGCTTATTTCGAGCCGGACCCGATCTCTGCAATTCGTGTCGATCTAGGGAAAACTAGAGAACAACCCGCTATAACACCAAAATTGCTGAGAAAGATGCTCGATCTGAAGGGGGCCTCACGCACTCACCGCCCTCACGCACTCATGGCCTTTGCACACCTCATGCACTCACCGCACTCACGGCCCTCACGGCCCTCACGCCTCTCATGCCACTCACACCCTTCACGCACTCACCGCCCTCACACCACTCACGCACTCATGACCCTCACGCCACTCACCGCCCTCACGCCCCTCACACACTCATGGCCCTCATACCCCTCACCGCCCTCATGGCCCTCACGGCCCTCACGGCCCTCACGGCCCTCACCGCCCTCACCGCCCTCACGGCCCTCACCGCCCTCACGGCCCTCACCGCCCTCACAGCCCTCACTGCCCTCACTCACCCTCACACTCATGAATTTTCCTGGTTCAGAAACTCACTCACCCTCACCTCACCTGTGAAGATGAGGGTGAGTGAGGGTGAGTGAGGGCCCTCATGAGTGAGGTTTGCCGAGGTATGGCCACAACCGTTTGGCAACTCGTTTCTAAAGGAAATTCTTTTGCGGACCTCACTAGGTCAAGTTTGCTCGTTGTGAGCCTTTTATCTTTTGATTTTAGCAGCCGGGGTCACGTAAGATATATCGAAATGACCTCGCCCTTGGCTGAGAAGTTATTAGCCCAAGGGACTGACCGGCGGATTTGTTTTACACAGAGTACAATTAGTCCCTAATTGCGTTGGAGGGAACGTGGTGGTCCTCCAACATTTCAGCTGTTATAGTGATAGGTTAAGAATAAAGTACCCAATTCGAACTACAGAAGTTTTAAATGACTCCCCCAGCTAGTCGCATCAACTCATTTCTTGACCTCACTGACGTCAAGAAACTATCGTTTTCAACAAGAAGCGCGCTGTTTTAAACGTTGGTCCCGCCGGCGTGGACACCGGGTTTTCAAAGTGGCCTGTGTTTTCGTCACAGAGCCGTGGCCTTATCCGCTTTTGTGAACGGTGCACGGTAGTAACGATCGGAGAATTCAACGGTTGTTTCGCCGCCCTATTTAGTAATTGTCGACGTGGTCAGTGCCCCCGTTGGATGATCACGGAAGCTTCACTCGACGAGACCGACGGAAACGGTGCCAATTGCTTATCTTCATTTATTCGGTGTTCGCCCTTGAAACAGGTCACGTTGCAAAATGTTGGCGATGCGAACAGTTCTACGTAGTAGTTTTGTCTGACCGGGTGAGAATTCAACTGTCGTGTTGTTGGTGTCGAAATGCTCCGTGCCCTTGCTTGGACAATCCTATAAGCCTCGGCGGCTGAGAACGGCGCAAGCTTTCTTTATACCGATGGCTTCTTTTCGGCCGTTGAGTGCTCCCTCCTCTTAAAAGGTCTGTCAAAAAGCTAGCAATAGTATGAGTATTTTTTTTCTACCTTGCTGTGACGTGACAGTGCTGCTGTCTTCATTAACAATACGCTGCGTGAAATACTCGAGTGATGAAAACGTCATGCCGCCTCACCGAACTCCGTCTGCTTTCCTCCTCGGTTTAATAATGAGGTATGTCTACTGATGTAACACTTTCAAAATGTATTTATTTATTCATAAAACCGACGCCCTCGCCCATTCGTGCCGCTGTGATCAGTCGGATGGTAAAATCACACATGAAAGTGACCTGCCGTCACATTTGACAACACAAGGTAAAACATCTTCCACCCCTTCCCATCGTACGAAATAACACAGCTACCTCTGCTGCCTCGAGTCGATGCCGACCCGTTCGAAAAGCAGCGAGCTTCGCTCCCTCCGCTCGCCCCTACAACCGACGCTGCCAATGCCGCTATGGGGTGGAGCAGATGATTGACGCACTACTTCTCAACAGTGGAGGCACTTGTAGCGGACACATTACGCCTTTGAGACGGAGCGCCTATTGAACTCATAACCTGTCACTGACTGTAAAAAAGTATTTGGGGTAGTCCTGTATCTCGATTCCCCTCGCCCGCTCGCCTGCTTTATCATCCGTCGCCTTCAAGGTCGCCTTTCTCGAATGCGACAGCCTATTCTCTACAGGCTGCTCCCAGTATTCCTATCGTCACCGCTGCGCGCTCTGCATAGTTTTTTTTTTCCTCAGCCCGCGATACGTGCCATCGCACGGCGAAGACAATCAGTGCCAAGTCGGTAACGTCAGGTTGGTTTTATTTACGACTGACATTTAGTACTGCTGAAAATTAAACCAACATGACCACCATCGTTTCCACACAGTTGTCCGGGGTAGCACTGATCAACGCTATTCAAGAGTGCCCATTTCTTTCTAACGAGCATCCCTCCGATTTAAAAAGGCGGCTCAGAAAGATATGGTCTCAGAGCACAATATAGTGTCGATTTTGGCTTGACATGTTCGAACTATATCACGCCGGCTCCATTGGGTACACTCCTGTTTGTTGATTGTGTTAAAGTTTCCATAAACACCAGGCGAATATTATGAGGACTCTTTTTAGCACAAAATGCAAGTAATCAGCCCATTTCAATAAAAAGACTGTTCTGAAGAACTCTCACGTCAATTTTCCTGCGAAATTGATGTTTAGGTGACCACGTCAGGCGACCTCAAGTCACGTGATGTTTATTTACGTGACTTGACTACATGATGTTGCCTTGCTTCAGTGACGTCACTTTCTGCGAGGTGATAGTTTGTGCTCAACTCATCATGTACACACACAGCGAAAAAGTACACCCCTGGACGTGTAAACCGTTGTCCCAAAGCGGACTCCCCAAATGGTGTTCGTTTTACACGCGAGGCTCGGTGTATTTCGTTTGCACCCGAGGTCTCGTGTAAAATGAACATCTTTGAACGTGTACGTCGTTCTGCGATCACACGTCTAGGGGTGTTTTTTTACAATGGCGGCCGTTTGACGCAAGACGGGCTCTACGAGCGAGGCCCAGCGCTTTACACGGCTTTTTGCCGCAGCGAAAGCGTAGTTTGCACGTGTTCGTTCGTAATCGTCCATACGTGCTGAACTACCGCAAGCATTCACCCCCAAGCGCCGACGCCGTATCCATTACGGCGATTACGCGACAGTGGGAGCGACCATCGACTGCATCCAGCAGCGTGTTTCCCCATCGAGCAGGTCTCGTTCGCGTGGCGGTTCAGCCGATCGCCGAGGCCTCAAGCCGGTTGCATTGTCACCGACGCCGGGTAATTTCCACAGGAGTTATCTTTTCGCGACCACAGACATGAACTTTATTGAAAAAGCCCGTTTGCCGTGAGCGAAGACGAATAGCTCCGATACCGACCCGACCCGACCCTACCCGACCGGCGTTACCGACGTCCCGCTCACCTCTTTACCGCGAGCA